CTTTTGTAGATGATTATATCAAATTTTGTTGCCCAACTATATTTATATCCAGTAACCCACCAAATGAAATTCAATGAAAAATCTTTCATAAGTTTTGAACATTGTTTGTCAATAATGAATTTATTATGAATTATGAAACCGCTGACAAAATGTCTAAAAAGACTTACCCCTCCAATTCCATTTCCGGCGTTAACGGCAAAGCGACCTCTGCAGTCTGAAATATATAAAAAATTAAATAATTAGTGTAAACTTAATGTGTAATAATATACTATTTTAATTACTCTATTATAATTGTACAAATCAAATTGTTTTTTAAAAATATTTTACTGCAAGTTTATAAGATCATGGTAGTATGTAAAAACAGATTGACAGGTAAGCCAGCCTATAATGACATCCACTCCCTAAATCTATTGAAGAAGTTCAATTAGTTCTTGACGAACGCGGTGTTCAAACAAATAGATAAGAGTTATTATTATTAATAAACAACAAGGAGTTTAAATGTGTAGTTTTCAGTTGCGTTTTATGGATTTTAGTGTGCTATAGCCAATACTGGAAAAATTGTACATCCGATTGATACGATCCGTCCGGTACGGACATATGGACGCTTACCTAAACACGTAAAGATTGTCAGCTGGCCCTGGACAAGCGGAGTTGTGTGTGCGACCGTTTCCCTAAGTATGACAATGAAATATTTTTTAAATTCATACGTACGGAAAGTGACCACCGAGAGTAGCAATAGTCAACCAGGGCTGCAAATCCGTAACCCGCAACGAATCCGCCGACCGCAAACAATTTATTTGACATCATATTTCCTCAAAATCAAATATGTTCTTGAGACTTGATGACGAATAACGAAAAACTAAATACTGTTATAAATAATAGGTAACAACAATACCTAAAAATAAACAATTATTTAAAAAGCCATTATTATTATTTATTCTATTCGGATAGCTTTTAATCAGCTGTTAAAATTCCGAGCTTTTTAAAAACCCAAAAATGTTTTTTTTTAATACATTTCATGTATTAAAATATTACGGTTTCTCGATACAGCAAAAAAAATGTCACTGTGTAAATGATATTTTTAACGAAAGTAATTGAGTCGATGAGTCGCAACAGAAGATTCCATGTTTGACTACAAAACCGAAAAAGGCCGATGGAGAAATTTAAAAAATGGCCTCCTGCGAGGTAGTGTCATCGAACCAATACTCTTTAATGTCTATACAAATGACCAGGCCATTATGGGAACTACTCGTCGTTTCCTTTATGCCGACGATTTAGCGATAACTGCGCAGGGGAAAACTTTCAGTGAAGTGGAACAGACACTCACACATGCGCTGGAGAAATTGGACAAATTCTAATCACAGAACTCACTAAAACCCAACCCAGCAAAAACACAAATAAATGTATTCCACCACAACCAAAATAGGTTAATTTTTGTTCGCGGCTTTTGGAGATTTCAATAGAAATTGTAACATTTGAATTTAAAAAACTAGTAAACGAGTAAAAGAAAATTTTGTTTTACTGTGTAATAGTCATAATAATAGTCATAATATGTCAGTAATATGTCATAAGTACTATATTCGTCACTGTTACATAAAAAAAAAACTGGTTCGTGTCGCGGGACACGCGTTTGGAACGAAGTCCCTTTCGTATGCAGGTTTGACATAATTAATCATTAACGTGTATTAATAGTCCTACAACTTTACAGGTTGAATTCTAAAATAGTGCAATTATACAAAAAAAATTTGTAATTCAAATTTCTTTGTGTATGCATGTAACTTGTTCTTCTTATCCATTTACCATTTATTGTGTATATTATCTTTGTATTATTTTTGTGTATTATCTTTTTTGTAAAATTATCTTTTTGTACGAATGTAATTGATATTATGTGTTAAAAAATATAATTGTTATTGGAAAAAAAAAACAGGGCCGGTTACAATAACTAGACTACATAATAATGATAATAATATTTCTTTATTTATGGAGATAAAACTACATTTTGCATAATATAAAATATAATAAGTAACATAGACATGATAGTATTTGCGGTTTACAGATTTATATACAGGGTGTCACGGAAAGTTCTACCGAGCTTTAAATGAGACATTTAGGATGCTCTATGGGTACAATAAATGGTATTCACTTTTTTTTAATTTTAAAATTATTTAAAATAGAACTCGTATCTCATTAAAAAATGATCTTACGAAAAAATCTTGTTAAATTAATATGTTACATGATTTTTTGGTATCTGGCCACACATACGTCCACAGGGTGGCCACCGAATGGCCAATGAGTGGCCGGCATGTGACTAAAACCAACATATGGTATTACACATAATTTAATATAAAATAATACTAAGAACACCACTGAATTGAGAATAAAATTCTAACACAAAATGATGTGTCACATTTCAATTATTTAAAAAATAACAATTCCCGCTTGCAAATATTCTAGCCGGGCTATGATATTGAAATCATATGCAACTTATATGAATACACAATCACTCAGGGTCACAACTTGATCTAGTTATCACAAATGTTTTTAATAATAAATGTTACTTCTAAAACTAACTCACTAATACCCTTAGATTATATTATGTGTCATCCTGCATTACTTAAGTCGTTGAATATTACAAGATAAAGGTAATATATTTTATAATTACCTTCGTTTATAAAAAGCAATATCCGCTAGAGATAAATAATTTTCTGTATTATAATCTGTGTCACTCCAAAGCACGTCTAAGGCATGCCCAAAAAGATTCGCTTCAGTAACAAGTTTGAAAAACTTTTAGTGTTGAAATGTCGAAAGTTGTGATTAAAAATTACTAGGTTAGGTCAACGTGATATTATAAAGTTTATGTCGATTTATGCGTTATAATTATTAACAAGATTTTGAAAAAAAAATCAACTATTGGTCTAACATGTTCTGAGATTATAATAATGTATTATGGTTCGCATTACGTTTAACATCTTACATACTTCATCTCACCTTGTATTATTATTTATTTGTAAAAAAAAAAAAAATGCAGAACGCAACATTAATGTCTCTTACCATTTTTTTTTTTTGGTACATTATAAATTTAGGTTTTTATTTAAAAAAAATTTGCCTTTAGAAACTGATTTACAAAATAAAATACCGTCGGATTTCATATTCATCTTGGGACTCATTGGCGGAGGCCTTTACCAAGCAGTAAAAGTTTTCGCCAAGGCACCGACCGAGAGTTTGTGTTTCAAGAGGCGTTTTAATGTGAGTACAAATCACAAGTAAAAAATCAGACTTTTTTTTTTTAATATTGTGATTTAATTCCCAGGGTGCTTTTCAATCGGGCACCGCCCGAGCTCTAGGAATCCATAGATTGTTCAATGGTCGCCATTAGGAAAAAGGAAGACCTCTGGAATTCCATTACCAGCTGTTCTCTGATGTGTAAACAATATAATTGTTATTGTAAAAAATAAAACAACGTTATTAACATGGACATATGTTATTGGGCTGGGAGTCAATCGGAAATCTGTAGTACTGACTTTTTTTTTGTTTACTTAAGTATACTTAAACATCTCTTGAACCTCCATGAAATTGGCAAAATTTATACAATGAAACTAAAGATTTTCCAGATTGCTTAAGACATCGGGCGATACCTTTAATTGCACAAATTTCAATGACTAGTGTCATACAAATTGCTGAACCTCCAAATAATACCTGCATGCATAGTCCGTTTTATATAAGAAAAAACCTATTTATGACCTTCGAAACAGAGTCGATAATTAAAAAATAATATACGACTAGTCATAACAGGTTAAATTTTTAAGGTATGATTTTTATTCAAAAATAATGTTGCGGTAAAAAGCTTTTTTTAAATAATTATTTTTAGTAAAAATAATTATAATAGTGTATTTCATATTAACTCAACAATAAAAGTGCAGTTTATTTTGTCAGCAACAAATATTTGGTTCCGCTGTTTGCAGTGTTTACCGGTAACTTGTGTTTTTACAGTTGTTATAACCCTCTCTATATTATATCTCTCTAAAACCAATGCCCGGCACTCTCTCCTGGCGTCCTGTCCATTTTAATGAATCCCTAATCCTTAGCGAATCACCCTGTACAGACTATCCGAGGTTACTCATTTAAGTTGTTATAGTCATACATTAAAATTTTTATTCCACAAAAACGGGTCTTGGTGTGTAATAGAGCTGTTATTGGTAACACGGCCTTTTAACCTTCAAGCGTAGGTACAAGACACCTAAACACACACCTCAGCTGAATTAATGCAAATATTATTGTTATTTTTGTACAGAATGTTGCACGATCAACTGAAAAACAACGGATTGTGTGTTTAGACAATAATATACGACTCATTGAGTAAAATTGTGTAATGCTATGATAATAACACTAACTTTTAAGTTGTATCCAAAAACATAGTTAGTAGACAAACGAACGCATTGATTGAATAAAATGTAACGACTTGTAACAATTTAAACCATGAAGTATGGTTAAAAAAATATATGTATAAGCCTATTGGGAAATAAACTAGTAATTAAAGTACATTTTAAACAAAACTGGACAAGTAAATTTGTTTAACTAACCCCTCACGTTACAATGAATAGATATTTTTCAAAGTAACAAAATATATTATGTCATTGAATTTTTTTTTTACAATTTTTTTAATTTAAATTACACGGTGGTTATATTTGAGGACAATTTTAAAAGTGTCTGTAACCGGGTATCTAATGATCCATTTATAATATTTAGAATTCTAATAGCCTAGTATTATATTTTATGTATTAATATATTTATATTTATAATTATATATATATATAAGTATATTCTACATGATATAACTAGGTATTTGGTATTTTTTTTTTCGACATGACATATTCTTATGGCTGGGTCTCCCCGCCTCTTTATAGAGATGAGTGATAAGATATACTATGTTTAAGCTTTATCTCGACTGCCGTTCCCCACACCACCGCCGATACATGCCAACCGTTTTAATTATACTATTATCACTACTACTACTGCTGCTACCGCGCTACCGTACCGTAACTGCATTTTACTGACACTTCACCGGTTTTGTTATTTTTTGGTTTTCTTGAACTGCACCGTTTGTTTACCTTTAAGTTCACACATATTCGACCGTTTCAACTTGTACAGACAATCTTCGATACCTACCGACCGACCGACCGATCGCACCTGGACTTGTACCATTGTAAATATACCTATTCGATTTGCATGCTTGTATTATAATATACTACGTTAGTTGTTAAGTGATAAACCTATTAGCTGTAAACTGTAGCGAGCTGGCCAGTGGGTGAGATCTTATTGTATATAGTTATTTTTTTTTCTCAGTAGTAGTTTTTATATAATTTAAATTCCGTGTTGTATTTGTTAAAACATTATTGGTCCTTAGAGCCTAGGATCTGCACATCCTAAGTGATTGAGTACCGTCCACAGAAAAAAAAATTGAAATATTTAAACATCACATTATAGTACACGAGTGTTTGTTTTTTTATATGTTTATGTTGAATTTCAATCATTTTTATTTAAAAGTATAATTTACATACACTAAGATAACGTTTCGTTGTTTACCAAACGTGGATTTGGACTTTGACCCCTTGAGTCTTAGTAGTTTTATTCATTTTGCCTGTCATGTATAACCGTCTATAAGTGCCGTTTAATTGGTCATTAAAATTGTTTATCTCTTGATAATATTACTGTGCGGACATCAAGCGATAATTATTATTTCTATACGTGTGTTTGTTTTAGTGCCGTGTTGTTATTGATCAATATTTTGCGGCCATCGTTTATCTTTCTATAGCCGTGCAACACACCAAATCAGTGCACAAAAGACGGCATAAGTGATTAACATTTAACACACATTGAAATATACTCAGATAATTTCCTACCTGCACCACAAAATACCATAGCTTCAGACGGCACTTACAAGATTACTCCGGTTTCAGAAATTTGTTTGACGGACTTGTCAACAATCAAACAAGTTACCAGCCGATAGTCAAGTTTGTTTATCTAAAAGCAAAATTAGAAAGGGAGCCATTAAAGCTAATTACCAACCTAATGTTAAGTGAAAGTAATTACGAACGTGCATTAAAAATTTTAGATAATCGCTATTCGAACAGAAGAGCTATTGCCCAAAGCCATTTGGATCAGCTGTGGAACATGCCAAAGGCGTTTTTTGGCGATTCAAAGTCGATTAGACAAGTTTTAAACAGCATAACCGAATCTGTAGGAGCTTAAGGAAACTAAATTTAATAGAACTTAATATGTGATAAGAGATAAGAGTAGGAGTAGACTAAAAGGAAAATGGTAGGATAGGGTAGGAAACCCCACGCCTGATCCCATATCGGCTGATCCACTTTCCTTACTCATCCTGACTTGTAAACATGCTTGAAGCCATAGGAAAGTTAAGTTTTAAGTTTAATAGGTAATTTTTGACTCGAACGTGTCTTATATTCGTCTTCCAGCCTCCGAGTGCCATATTATAAGACATATTCATGATGCAATGTATTTTCCTCGATGGAAAAACTATTTTACAATATGTAGCTTATCGACGTTTTGCTTATACATTTCAGGTGGGATTACTATAGTCAATGAACGGTATTGGCACTTGTACGGATGTCAACAACTCAAACAGGATATTGACCGGGATTTTGTTAACGTGGCCTATGGCAGTTACACCTACGTCAATACCGGCAGGTAAGCGTCACCTAACCTCTTTTCACCTACTTGTCCCAAAATCTCAAAAGTGTTTACTTTACAAAATAAGTCTGACATGATTTCGGAAAAAGATACAGCCCATGGCACGAACGACAACGCCAAACTACTAACATTTGTCAACACATTGCACAAAGACTTGGAGATTTGTCAGAGGAGGAAATCTAGAAGATCATAACATCCTTTTAGACATTTCTAACAAAATCATAACATTATTACTAAGATTTTTCGTGTTGATGTTTTTCTACTTTTATAAGTATACCATTGGCATTCAATTTCGTATATAGAGGTTTTACTCGAGTGAATCGACCCAGATTAAAAAAAAAAATAACTTTTTTACTTACAGGCACACAAAAAAAACAACGATTTAGGTAACACCTGAACACACACCGCTGTAAGCCTAACACAAAATGTTAAGTTATTTTTTTGATAGAATATTAGAAAAACGGGTCAAAGTGTGCGAATATCCTAAGTAAACTCTATAAACCAGTGGAAAAACAAATCGATTTGTAAATAATTAAACTACAATTTTTGGTGTTGTTGTTTAGTGCGTTTCTCTTGGTCACAGGTTTCGAATTTGTTTTTGTCTTTTTGAAACTCCATTTTAAGTGTACTTCACATCAACTGGACAATGAAAGTGCAGTTTTTTTTTTCAGCTACAAATATTTGGCTCCTGTTTGCGGTGTTTACCGGTAACTAGTATTGTGTCATCCGTTGCAGTTATAACTCCATTTAGATTTATTTGTTTTCATTTTAAACATAAATTAAAAAATATTATATATTTACAAATAAAGTATTAAATTGAATAATAAATATATTATATGTATAAATTGTATATTGTATGTATATATTATATAGAAATTCAATTTGTTCATTGATAGTTTTCTTGCACAACTTAAAGCTTGTGAACAAACCAACATCTATATCTAATCGCATTGCCTGTTTAATAAAAACAAAAGAATTTCTTATGCTTGAATTTAATTTTAAACGTATCTGAGTAAAACATACTGGACAAAAATTTGTTTGCACGCAGACGTGGTTTCTCTGCTCTCCATTAAGTGGAATGCCCTCAATCGGACTCAATACCCTTTTGATACTTTTTTGTAACGATTAGAAAATACAACATGATAATATTTGATTTGTTTTTAGATGTTGCATGCATGCACACCTCCACGTCTAATACACTAGATATTTTTGAAAATAAAGAACAAGATGATAATTCAGAATTAAAAAAAGGAGATATCGATGATGTCGAGGAAAAAGTTAAACAAAACCCAGAACTGGCAGGCTTGCAAGTTACAGGTAAGCTTACTAAATAACATAGTAATGTAGCCAATGAACTCGAATATCTTTACTGAACTGAAATTGCACCATCCTATATAGTCGAAATTTTGTCTGGCTTTGTGATCTCAAATAAACTAAAATGGCTTATTCTCATACAAATTAACCGGTAAATTAATTGATATGCAAAATTTCTATTGCATGCAGTTGTGCTAAGTAGGTTACCTCCTGTTTTTTTATAATAAAGATATTTCCATTCTGAATGGTTTTTTTAAATGGTTCCTTAATTATTGGATTGATAGTGATTTTCTACGAAGGTGTGATCATACGCACCACCGCAAACTCCAATAACATATGAGTAAATACGCTTAGCCATAAGCCATTCTTATAGTTTTTTTGTGATAATACAGTATTATTATAAACGATTAGAAAATACAATATGATAACACTTAATTTGGTTTTAGATGTTGCATCGACCAGCACGACTAGTGCGCTAGATACCTTTGAAAAAGAAGCTCTGAAAAAAAATCCAGAATTAACGAAAGAAGAAATATCTTCTATCTTTCTGTCATCAATAGATGAAATCGAGAAAAATGTTAAAAAAAATCCCCTACTGGCAGGCTTGCAAATTACACGTAAGCCCACTAATTAATGATAAATTACACCACAGCGATATGTTGATTATGTTTTAAATACAGGCAAAGAAATCATCATATTTCTGCACAGTTCTGAATACAGACCGGAAAGAGCCTACAAGATGCTGGCGACCAGCTACCAATATCGAATGGAATTACCTGTTCTTTTTCAAAAAATAGATTTGAACTCCGAACAAATGAAACGTGTACCCGAAGCATTGTAAGTAGACAAACGAGCGCATCGATTGAACAGACTGTAACGACTTAAAGCATGATTAAAAGATATCTGTGAGATCTATGACTTTATTCTTGTTCCCAATCATAATAAATGTATGTGGCTGTGATTATTTATTCAATTGAATATTATCTGTGTGGAGTTCTTAACACGCATTCGTGTCTGGTTTTGATAACAAATTTTACAACTATTTTTTTGTTTCCAGATGTTTTTCAATACTTCCGATTGAGTATGGACCGGACAACGAATGCCATATTTATGTGGCTTTCCTTAAACTCGGCCTCGACGATTTCGATTATGTGAATACTATCCGGTATTTCTTCATGTTGATCGAGTACTTGTTGAAAACAAAAGGAACGTTCAAAGGCATTTCTGTTTATCTGGACGCGCAAGGTGCAACTATGGCGCACGTTCGAAAAATCCCATTATTAATGCTGTTCAAAATTTTGAAATTCGTACAAGTGCGTATAGTACAAGGGGTGGCTAGAGTGGTTTTAATGTGACGCAACAGTGTCTACTATTTTAAGCACAGACATAATAGGGATAATTAAAGTTTCCATTTTCCGCCCTCCTTGTGGGAATTAAAACCTTATCATATGAAAAAATGCTTCTAACAATTTTTAGTTTAGTTGTATATTATTGTACAGTGTGTACAGTACATGAATCCCACAAAAATGGAGGACGTCGGCTTCCATTCGTACCACTAGTTGGCAATCTAGTTATATGGCTATGATTTTAAGATTTTACAACCGCTCAATGCTAAAGACATTTTTTTCTTTTGTGTGACCATTCTGGTGGTCATACAAAACATATCAATTTAGAAAAAAACAATTTCACAGTTTATAGATATATAATATAGAATTGACATTTTGCTTATAATTTTCAGGGGGGATTACCAGTACGTTTAAAAGCGATAAACGTGATTAATATCAATAACGGTTTTAAATATTTCTTGCAATTGTTACTCTGGACAAAACTGAAGGACACTATTATAGACAAGGTAAGACATTATTCTGGTTCACTGCTCCGATGCTGTGCTAAGTAGTTTTCTGCATTGTGTGTTGTACGTATAGATACATTTCTATACCAAGGCCAAAGAACTTTCGTTAAAAGACGAGATGAAACCTATTTGGCAATACATGCCGTTAGAAATCAACGGAAAATGGGCAAGTCAGGCAGAACAATCACGTATGAAAATCAAAGTCAACTTTGTATTGTAAAAAAAAAAAAAAATGTATTCTTTTCGCTTTGTAGAAAACACCTATAATGCAATGCTCAAAGTCAATGCATGGTATTTGTATAGACAAGAAAAATATCAAATTCTCCTCGACCGCGCATCACAGTCGATCAATCCGAAAAGCAAGTTGGCCAATAAAGACGATAAACAAACGGGCAAACAGAAAAATAAACGATAATTGATCTTTAAACGCATTTGTTCGTCATAAACTCGTTTGTACTAATATTTGAAAAAAATATAATTATATAGAAAATTTCTTAAATGCTTAAATGATTTTTACAAAGAGTTATTTTTAGAGACGTTATAATTGCTTTAAATTTCAAAGTGTCTTGTGTGTGTTTTTATAGTATTAACAATTTATGCACTTAATGTATAAACTTTCAATTTGCCAAGTCCCAGGTTTCATTCAATATGCAGCCACCACCTTTGTCCTCTTCCATTTCTTTTGTCTCTGTGACATAATTTTTTTGATTTTTCTATGCCAAAAGGTTTTAAAGCTCCTTAGCTCTCTGACCCTGAATTAACTTGGTAACATTTACGTTATATATACCTAGCTATATTATACTTTCAAGCAAACTAAATCAAACAGTTAAACAAAATAAATTCGTATGGAATGTTGCATGCTCAACAAAAACATGTGTAATATATATTATATTAAAACAGATGGCGTATTCGAATAACAATACTGAAAATAGATCAATTGAGTGAATATTGTTATTGCAAGTTTTGATATGTACCTATTTATTTTTATATTTTATTCCTTTTTAAATATTTTGTTTTGGTGTATATATTAATACATAAGCGTTACTATTTTTTTTCTTCTTAATGGGTTTTATTTTAAATTCTGGCTAATTTTCTAATGGCTTAATAATAAAAAAAATCTACAAGAATTCTTGACGACAGTCGCCTAACCTAACATTTTGCCATAACTCAAATACACATTTTGAATACAATACATACAAAATTATGTAAAAATACATAACGACACGTTCATTTGTTCTGGCATACTAGTATAGTGTGTAAGTAATACAAGAAAAATGTAATCTATAATGTATTAATTAGGCTACCCAATTCGATACGGTTTCCGTATTGTCCTTTTTATGCTTCATGACATCATTTAACGTAATTTTTTTCTAAATTCGAACAAATTAATTGCATTTGAGTTTTTAAATTTCTAAACGTTTATTGTACAAATTTCGACTTGTAAAGCAATCGTCTTACGCAAAGAATATCATCCACAAAATACTATGTCCATTAACGTTTGACGTAATAGATCGACAGGATAACCATTTTAGCTAGAAAAAAAAAGGCATAGATATCTTGAAATGTTTTATTTAAAAACTACAATACACGACTTAATATGTGTTACACTTAAAGGCAATACTAATATAATAATATACGTACAATTTAACAATAATAGTATTTACATTTGCATTTTTTTTTTTTTTTTAGTTCAGTTTCAAATATTTTATACACGTTTGATCGTACATATATTAATAAATATTGTTTTATATTATATTATGTTATCTTTATACATCCTAAAAAGTAAATATCGTATCTCCTTCTATGTACAGTAATAATAATAATAATAATAATAATAATGAAAAAAACATCGTATATTGTTCGCTTATGATCGGGTAATCAGTTCTGATATTTTTAAATGTACAAAAAATTTACTTAATTAGTTAATAGGTTAAAAATTATCACAGTAAAAAAAAAAAAAAAAATGATTACAATATTGTGGGTTTAAACAAAACACATTTAGATACATATATATATAAGTTTGTATATACATCGATAATTTAACGGCATGTACAAAAGATCAATATTTTTTTAATAAAACCGAAGTTGATAATAATCGTACGACACACAGTTTTAATAATAAAATAGGTAGGTGTAATTATTATTATTACTTGCGAATTATACTGTAAAAATTTAACCGTAAACCATACAATTACGTTGCCTTATTATAATATATTATACTGCCAAAGCGGAGAATCGATTGTCGGTCATAATATTTCAATATTATTATTAACAAAAAAAAAAAAACTGTTTCTATTATTGCGTGTAATAAAAATAAAAATTGTTAAAAACTGTCTAAATTCAAAATTATCATCCAAAACTGACGACTCGACAAATAAAAACCGTCTTACTACCATATCAATAATAATAATAATAATAATAATAATAATTACTATGTGATGCTGAGCGTTCAACAAAGCGTAAAACAATCTAGTATTTTTAAATAAATAATTTATAGAAAATCTATCACAACAATGTCGTAAAAATAAAACAAAAACAAAGGAACTTTATCGTTAAAAAAAAAAAATACCTAGTACAAAATTAAATAACAACGATGGCTGTATTTACAACACGGCGTCTAACGTGATCAAAAATTTGTATTTAAAATAAGTATACACGACGACAGGTCGATAATTATTTGCTCAAAAGGTTAAACCGTAACATGTAATTTTTGATTTGATTTTTTTTTTTAACTCTAATCTAGTGAAGACGGTTAAAAAATAAAAATAGTAGACGTTTGATGGCAAGATCGCCTACCCAACCAATAATAACGTAATATTATACATATATATAAATATAAATAAATTATTACGAAATATATACAAAATTAAGATTCGAAGAAAATAGTGTTTTTACAATAGTAATCAGTTTCTTGCCCCGACGCACTGAACGTCGGCTTCGGCGTACAGGCAAGACGATTCGCTACAAGAACAACCGCTGCTGCAACTGCCCTTGTCGTCGGCACCGCCGTTGTCGTCGTCGCACCATCCGCGGTTTCCTCGCCATTGTTCTGAGGGTAGAAATAAATAAAATTATAACATAATACTATACTTATTAATCAGTTATGGGTAAATAAAACAATAGTCAATTTTAATACGTTAGACTCTGTGGGGAGGGGCCATCGCTTATAGTGGATTTATTTTTAAGCCGGTAATATTACTACAACTGAACATTGTTGATAAAAAGAGTTATAAGTTATAACTGCCATTTTTTTTTTTTTTTTGTCAATAAATTGTTCAAAAGAAAACAATCAAAGCTAGCTGCTCACCGGAACGGTGTTTGAACGCTAGTCCGGGCATTGCCGACTGAACGCAACGGTCGATGCTGTTGCCTTCCGAACAGCAAGTGTTCATGTCGTCCAGAGATCGTTTGTTGCCGCCGACCGCACAAGACACGGGGTTGGCGTGGCCGTAAAGGAGCGAAGCGCTTTCGTAGTCGTAGTCGGATTGCATGCGGTTCTTGGAGCCGTACTTGTTGGCTCGGTCCGGTCCCTGGCACACGGACGGATGAGACGATCCCGGCACCTGCGTTACGACAGCAAATTAATAATAAATCAAGCGTTGCTCGAGTTTGGTCGTAGAATCAATTTAATGTGTTTTAACATCACACGGTTGTACTTACCGGAGGCGGTTGTGTGGATGGCGGCGGGTTGAACCGGTGTTCGTTGCCCTGGCCGGTGTATATCCACGCCGGAGTGTAACCGTTACAGCTGCCGGCCAAGGATTTGCTGGTCTGCATGTGCGACGGTTTAGAGAAACTTCCGGTGTGCATGCGACGGCCGGCTTGCGGACTTCCGCCGTTCGACTGCGGTGATGGTAAAGAGTACTTATAAGTAATACACACTTATGGACAACGCGTTGAAGCAAAGGTAGGGTAATCTTACCTGTGAAGTCTTCCTGATCACGTCCGAGGGCGGGTGTTGCGGTGGCGGCGGTAGGAACTCGTTCCAGTTTGGCGGCGGCGGCTGATTGATCGGATAGACGGGCGGTTTCCTCTTGTGATTGTTGAACTCGGTGTTGTCGTCTGCAAGTGAAAAATAACATAGCAATAGAACATAGTATTTTACTAGAGTAGGAAAATAGTATAATAAAATATAAAGGGTTGGATGGAAATTGTATTGCATATTAGGATGATGATTTATTGACTACAAAAGCTGTCGGACCCGGACCAAACTGTCCGACCCACCCCTATGCAACAACCCTGACACCTTATCTCCCGCTGCCTGGTTACTTACCGAGATAATGGTTGGACGATATTATGTTTTGATCGTGGCAGCGTTCGTGACACGAACCGTTTGAGCTCAACGTTTTCGTTTCGGACGAACTGCTGGCGGCTCCGAACAAATGCGTGGACTCCTGTAGGCGAATAATGACAACACACGTGACATGGGTTTTCTTTTGAATTTAAGCAGTGCATAAGCAGTATACTTACGTTGCAGTCGTCTCCCCGGTTCAGCAACGTGGTGGTGGCGTACGGCGTGGGGTTGGACACCAGGTCTTTGCGGGGGTTGTAGAAGGTCGACAGGTTCCTGGTATCGACTTCCGCGTAATCGGCGCAGGGTTCGTTTGCACGGCCAATGCCGCCGTTCAGCAGCTTCGATTCCGGATCCTTTTCGGCGTTTCGCCAACCCCGGTCGATCCACAGCGCCTCTTTGCCGCCGCTCAACATGCTCAGCTGCGACAAGTCTCCACTGACCACGGGCACTGCGCAAACGGAAAACACACACAAAATAAATATTCATGTCAACAGGCGTTCGAAACCCAAGTGCGGCAAAATAAAACGCAGGAATTTGTTGACTCACCGTTGAAGTGTCCGAGCTGTTTGCCGGCGTTCTGTTTCCGCTTCAAGTACACCACCGTGATGACCACCAACGCCAGCATGACCACCAGCACGGCCAACAGTACGATTATCCAAGCCTCGCCGGCGCCCGCGTTCGAGTAAGCCCTGGCCGGATACGCCGGATCCATGATGATAGGAACGGGCGCGCTGTAAGGTCCGTATCCGCTCCGGGTGTAAGCCTGCACTCTGGCCGTGAAACTGCCGCCGACGGTCAGGTTTAACACGATGTACGTGGCAGAGGCGTTCAGCAGCTCCTGGACCATGGGCTTAGTGGCGTTGTTGTTCTTCACTTGAATCTTGTAACCCAAAAGGTTGCCGTTGATGTGCTGCGGCGGCGGTGCCGACCATTTGATGAACGCCGAAGTAGCGTTGACCATGCCGGCTTGCACGTCTTCCGGGGCAGCCGAAGGAACTGCGACGAACAAAAAAAAAAAAACATTATTAGTATTAATCATGCTAAACGCACACTCGACGAGCACGCGACATGCGCTTTGCTCACCGTCTTCGTGGGTTTGGACGACCATCGAGTTGGACGGTTGTCCTTCGACCGTCTTGTAGAAAGGCACCAAGAAGAAATCGTATTTGGTAAACTTTCGCAGGTTGGCCAGAGTGTACGACTTGGGTTCGCCGTTGTTCATCATCACGGTTATCATGTTGTAAGTCTGCGAGCCGCCCGACAGCTCTCGGAACCGCACGTACACGCCTTCCACCCATTCCGGACTACTCAGAACCTTACAAGGGTAAACAGGACGGGTACGACGTTAGTTAATTTTTTCCAAGTCGCCCCAAACAACGCACACTTACCTCCCACATGATCCGCACCGACGTCGGCGATATGGGAAACAATTCCTTGAAGTCGATCACTTTGGTGCCGAGCCTCTCTCTGGCTTCGTCCAGCGACTGTTGCGAGATGACCGTGTTGGATCCTCCGGTTTTCACGACGGCCGACAGCGCACTGGGCACGCTCAGACCGTGCGAGTTCTCGGCTCTGACCATGAACACGTAAGAGGTGTCCGGTTTGAGATTTTCCACCTGCAGAGACAAACAAAACCCACATAAGTCAAGTCAATCAGACCCGTCGCCTTGACGTATCGTCTTGTACTACTACTCACCTCCATTGTGTTGGTGGATATCCGGTGCGCGGCTACTACCCATCCGGTCTGCAAGTCCGAACTGTAATACTCCAGGGTGTAGCCTATGATGGGAGAGGCCCCTAGATGCGGAGCAGGCGGTTTCCACGTGACGGTCACCGAGTTCAGAGTGACGTTGAGTATGGTCGGCACCGAAGGAGGAGCCGGGAACATGGCAGGGTCCGGCGCCCGGTGGAGACGGGACCCAGGAGATTCTTCCACGCTTAGCGATGCCGACCACGACGTTTCGCCGCTCTCGGACGACGCGGTGCAAGTGTAAAGACCGGAGTCGGATACTTCGAGTTCTAAAAATAAAAATAAAAACCATAACGTTTTATTTAAATATACGTACACTGGATTTTGGGGGTAGGAAACTTTGTCAAAGACTCGCGTTCCGTTCGCGCAATTTAAATAAATAAACATAATTAATTCATAAGCTCGACGAAAAAGGAATACGTTTGTTTAGCATCACAAAGGAACGGAGGCCGACCAGACAGTAGCAAATTATTATGCGCGGTAAATAATGTTCTATCCGGAGACGACGACGGTTTTCATTGCAGAGGTGTCCCCTCCTCGACCTTAGCGTTTTATACCACCCACCCAGGGTTACTTAGGTAAACAATATCGTATATTAAGGACCGCGACCGGGGTCTTACCGTCAATCTGCAACGTGCCCGACGAAGTGATAGTCACCCTGGGATCGTCCGGGGACAAATAGTTGCCGTTCCTGTACCATTTGATCGTGGGCAACGGGATACCGGATGCCTGGCAAGGCAAAGTAGCCGTCGACCTAGTGGCCAGTGTCTGATTGGTGGGACCGATGTCTACGACCGGGGGCGGTACGTCTTGCACCGAGGTTACCTGCGAACACATGACCACGACATTATAACGTGTGTTGTAGTCTACAAGAGCCAGCCGATGGTGGTCGGTCGAAACGGGTCAGATACCTGCAAAAACGCTCTCCAAGTCACCGAACCGGCGACGGACAGGGCGGAGCAGACTAAAAATCCAGCGTCCTCTTTCTGTGCGCCCTGTATGCGCAAAGTCCCTTCTTGGGTCACGTGGAAATGTCCGTATGCGTTCCCGGGAAACATGAGCACCTGCGATCCTTCTCGAGTCCAGAACACCGAAGGCGGCGGGTTACCTTGTGCAGCGCAGTCAAAGGTGGCGATGCCGTTGAGTCCGACCTTTTGGTCTTTGGGTTTGGTCGCAAACGTCGGCGGTGCTGGATAAAAAAAAAACCCAGTAAATAATCCGAACAAAATATTGAACATCTGATGTACTTACAGTGGACGGTCAACGAGGCTTTGGCCTTCTCGGTTCCCACGTCGTTCTCGGCGTTGCAAACGTACAGTCCCTCGTCTTGGGGCATCACGTTGATGATTCTCAGCGATTTGTTGTCCAAAATCTGGGCGCGTCCGAACGGCATTTTGCTGCCTTCCCGTTCCCAGTAAATGTTCGGTTTGGGGTCTCCGCCGACTTTGCACTCGAACTCGGCCGTCTGACCCGTGTGCACGGTAACGTCTTTGGGCTCGGCGTTCATGAAAGGTTTCACTGGAAAACGACAAAAGTATATATGGGGACATTAGTTACATATAATTGAAGTCGAAACGGCATAAACCACCACCACCGACGCAAACGCTTAACATAATAGTTATTAGCTACTATGGGTTTATCCTGATCGGGCGGAGGAGCCTATTAAGTCAAGTCGTTTGCTTATCTGTACGGCCGGCCGGAGAGTATTAAGCACACACTGTAATAACCGAGACGACGGTGTGTATTATATAATAACTACCAAATGTGTTCAAGGCAACGGATTTAAACTTTTGGGGTTCCAAAAGGATAATTGTTAGCGCGCCCGCCCAAACCGTTCGTTTTAGAGGGATATTAATTTTACCGCTGTTCGAAGCAAACGACTCGAGGGTAATTAAGATTTATACAATTTAAACATTACAAACTAACTACTACACCGGGCCGTTACAAAAATGTGTTGAATACATATTATTACAACGCCCTAAGCAAACAATTTTCTTCGGCGCTTAATGGTCCGACAGGTGTTCACCGACTACTTTGTAACCGGGGACGGCGGTTGTTTGAGAGCCGGGTAGAGCTTAATTTAACACAAATAGATACCCTGTGTGAAAGTACAACCGTCAAAGACCAAACGTTCTCATTTAATGAAAAATAAATCCCTAGTTATTTTCTCCGTCCGTTCTGCGGAAAAATATATTTTTATCATGGATATTTTATCTCTTATCACTTATTTCTTATCTCTTGTCTCATCTCTATTCTCTTATCACTAATCTCTCATACATTTTTACTTATCTCTAATCTCTAACTGAAAATGAAAGTGTAACGCAAAAATGGCATCATGAAATTTCTTGTGTCCAGCCCAATAAATAACATATCCCCATGTTAAAAACTATACAGGTAATTTTTGCTCGTGCACTATACTTTGTTAGCACGGCCAACCCGTAGGGACGACCGAGAGACGTGAGTAAAACATGTTCCCTCGGTCACGTGTGTGTTTCCCGGTGGATTAATGACTTTCTAACTGTATTGTTGCGACATAATATTTCTATATAAACGCGCCCGTTTATGTATAGGTCGGTTTCAAATGGCCCGCACTGGGCTTTTGGCCGGTGACATGCGTGAGCAGCCTATTGTTGCATTCACACGGTGTAAAAAACGAGACGAGGGGAAACAAAATATTATACATATATATATATATATATATACGTATTATAATGAAAAGAGAAGAATTATTGTAATAATAAGAGTGGAAAACGGCGTCGGGTCGAAAAAAAAAAAACAAAAACGAATCTCTGTTTCCGGCACATTAAACACTGTCTCGGTTTAGACGTCCCTCTTCCCCCCAGTCGAGGGGGTTACTTTTTTTTTGTTTTGCTTTTCTTCTGCCTAATGGCTCATCTATCAAAATCACTAGGACGCCGACGAGAAGTGGAAATCCGATTCGCTATTTATTTCGATTAGGCCGTGGAAAAACTTTCAATTGGCTGCTCTAATGGACTCCCAGAGGAAAATAATTGTCGAACAGGAAAAACCACGTTGACGCCCCGATGACGTATATATATATTTTTTTTTTGTGCACTACGGCACGCATACACACGTGCCTCCTGTTCGTGGGATATTGTTATATGCGTCGTCGGAAGCAGCAATGTAGGGTGTACAGTGATAATAATAATATAACGTAGCCGTAAAATATATTATGCAAAAAAAAAAAATGAACAAGTATAATAGTACGTTCGAACGCACACAATTGTACACACAGACTCCGCGCGAAGGTCTATAGGTACTTGCTATTCCCGATGCGTTTTTACTAGAGGATATTTGCACCCCGTATAATCGAATTTAGTACCCGTACTTACTTGCACGCACAACCGTCGAACCGAACGTTTATTGTTATCCGCAAATATGGCGATGTAAGCCCGACACATACAGACGTCCCGGTTAAGGTGCATTGGGAATGGCAACTAGGTTTTGACCGTGCATCGTACACACGGACATGACGGCTGTTGAATTTCAAATCTACAGACTGGTATTCAGTCAAAGGCCGCGAGGCTTTCAAACTACATTCGAACCGCTAGCCCGAGTACACCATTGTAATAATTTAATTTGGCAGACAGCCCTCATTGGGTAATGCGATTGATATTGAAGTTGAGACAAATGGTCTAAAACGAAATAGCAGGAACGACGAGCGGGTTTTAGACGTGGGAAGTAGCTCATACATTGTTCTAGTCGAATGAGGTGAAAATAAGTAAGCAAGGAGTGTTGTGCGACACTCAGACAGGGGCGGGCGGTGTGTAGGAAGTGTGTCTTGGACGCTTCATAAAGAGGGCTGAAGGTAAAAACGGAAGTAGCCGTGCAGAGTTGAAATCGGATCGTTGAAAGAAGGGAGAAAAATAAATAGGACAAAAGGCAACGAGAGGGATTAGGGTTAAGTTCCACTTACCGTTTACGGTGAGTCTGGCCGGAGTGCTCTCTCGCATGGCTACGATATTCTGTGCGACACAAAGATATTCTCCACCGTCGTCTTGCTGGACGTCCGTTATCATCAGATTGCCTCCGTCCACGATTCGCATCCTAAACAAACGATATGTTGATTGATTGCCACCATGAGTGAGTTTGCACACGGTAATTTTCATTAATGATAAGATTGAGGCATTTCTAACCAAAAAATTGCAATTGTTCTAACAGAAAACGAGGGGTCTTATCCTTAATGAATCATCCTGTATAGTATATATGCAGAGCATTGAAATTGACTCAAGTTTAATTAAATCAAATTAAGTATCAATTTAACACTAATTCACCAATTAAACCTCAGTAATCGACCGAGTATTAATTAATCAATTGTAATTTAATCGTTAACTATATTGATCCAAATCTAGTTGACTAAATCATTTTTATTTAACATTTTAAAAATAATCCATTCGAGAATCACTATTACGTTGCAGGTTATCACACACAACGTTATACTTTTAACTCTTTTGGACTGAACGATTTTTTTTTAAACACTGGAAAAACGTGAGGGTGTTTAACCGTGCAACTCGATGTCAGCCATTTTGTCAGCATTATTATGATAACAATTACCTCGCCGACGATTCAATGTGCACGTCTTCTCCGTCTTTCTTCCACACGACCACCGGGTCCGGATGTCCTTTGGGGGGGCTGCACTCCATCAGGGCCGTCTGTCCTTGGGCCACTTTGGTGTCTTTGGGTTCGATCCGGAATTCGTCTTTCAAAACTGCAACGCAAAATAATCACACAAACCGATTAGTATGAAAGTAGTCTGGAAAAGGACGGTTGTTGTTATAAATTGTAATTTTATTTTTTGACTACCGTAGTTTTTTTTTTTTACCATCAAGTATACATGCGAAACGCCGGCAAGAGCCTAGTGCCAAATTTGCATTTTGAAACGTATTTTCCACCTCGGTGGGTCGCGCGCAAATAAATCCGGATTAAGCGCGACAACGCGGATTAAGTTACAAATGAATCGTCATTCTCCGGCGTCTCTTCTCCGGTAACAGATTAGAAATCCCACGGTGGATTTGTTTTGGTACTTTGCCCGTGCGCACAAGGTATATATACATATATCTACCCCCGGTGTAATGTATATAAGACGAACGTCAGTTGGACTTGACGGGCGAACAGAGATAGGTCGGTATATTTGTTGCCTTGTGACGGACAACACCGGTTATTGTATAGGCGAAAAGATAATATTATTTTTTTTCTAACCAAGCCCCGGCGCACATACTCCAGAAGAGACGGGTAAATATGGTTAATTTCATCATCACAAAAAGGGATTAACGCCGACAAACACTGAGGGTCGGACACGACGAGACACACAATACAATGCTGTGCAGCTCTGCGATGTGGGTTTTCTTATTTCCTCCCCGACGGAAACACGGTTGTGTAAATATCGGAGACGGGCCTGCTCTGCTGGTGTGTTTATCGACGACCAAGAAAAACACAAAAATATGACTCACGGCTATTAAACGAAAGAACAAGGGGGGTGAACTCCCGGGTCTCGTGTTCTTGTGTATTTGTATTGACAATAATAGTACACTTGTCGTATCGCCAAAAAGTGGTCGATTTCAGAATTGAGAAAATTTTCAATTTATTAGTCTCTCTTTCTTATCACTTCCAAGGTTAAAATCCAAATTAAGGTCGTCATAGGGAACGCTTTGTTTTATATTTACTCAATAAACCCATACGCCCACTTCCAGGGGAGTAAGTCCCAAAGATGTGAGTTTCCATGGAAATGAAAAACGATATGGATCTACAAATCCACCGTATCACAACGTGTTTACTGATAACAAACCGCTTCCTAGACATGTTATGGTTGCCTTTTTAAGGAATTTAACAGCTCATTAAAAACATATTACTCAAACTATCCCTAACCTGGCGGTAAATTCAATATTTTAGAGATAGGTTAAGTTGCAATGTCGCTTTTTTCAAGATACCTACCACCATGTCATTGGCGGCACTTAAAGGGTCAGCTTCTGGGACCTTGGAACAAGCCAGGGGTGTGAGGAGGAATTGGCTATTAATCGACTTGTTTACCTTTGTTATTGAAACAAATTAATCATTCTGATTGGAACATTTTGTTGACCTGAATACACCTAAATGAACAATCTTTGAGACATGCCAAAAATAATGATAATGACACAGACACAAATGTACCACTTCGTTAATATTATACAATTACATTCTACTACCCACTCGAACGGCACACAAGGTAAGTAAATTAGTATGTAACAACCTCTTCCTCCGTCCAACGATATTTGACAATATCAAACAAGTAGTTTCCATATACTTTCTCCGCGCCGGTGTCGATTACCGCGGTGAAATTCTTCGTTTACAGGGATAAGAAACGGACAATAGACCGCTTGACAAAACAATGACCAGATGGGTAGTAAAAAAACTACAATAATGATTATCCATTCGAACGGTGTGTATAGATAATGAGCATTCCTGCGGCCTAGACGTTTTGACGGGGCGACCGGTTAATATTACAGCGATCGCCGAAACGACGGTTAACGCACTTACTATGTACTTGAGACTTACACGTGTATCGCAATGTCACGAAACGATTATGTAATCCAGTACACAAGTTAATATTTCGGACATCCCGTCGTTTGGAAAAATCATCATGTTCCGAATGCCTCTTAGGAATGTTAAAACACATTAACCGCTCATCATCGTATTGTCATTGGTTCGAATTCTAATTCATCCGCTTGTATATACACACTTGACTACATTCGTGGATAAGTCGGAAAACTTACATAGGTAACATTAATAGGATCGGCCAGACGAATCCTGGATCTGAGATTCTGCTTAAGAATCACTTCAGATCAGTTTTACCTACATTTCTATAACGTGGACGTGTGCGAGCGAGCTCATGTTGATAATTTTATCAGCAACACTGTTACTAGTTTGTCTGACGGTGCCTTCACGGTTTAAGGGAGCAATATCAAATGTCAAATTATACAAAGCCGGCGAGCCAAACGGATCACAGCACGGAGTAAATTTTAAAAAAATCGCTTTGACTGTTATTTATGAACCGTGTAAGTACGCTGACACTATACTGTTGTACATACACTTTGTGTGTAATATAATGAGCGACGTTTGCTGTCGGCCGTGCGGTTAATTGGACAACCGCCACCATTAATTGCGGTCGTCTGTTGTGACAATAATCCTAATATAGTATCCTATATTAAATAAATAGATACAATTATTTTGCTGCTTTGGTCCTGCTATATGCGACACACGTTGTATGTGATGCATCAATCGCAGGGTTTGTAAGGAGTTGTCGTTATTGCCGTATCATAAATATACTTGTGTACTTTTCAACTCCATCCCGTTGTTGGCTATGTACCGGCTACTCGCCGGACTCGTTGGCACGAACCGTTTTTCTCTAAATGCCGACGGGAATAATTTGTTATATTCGCTCCTGTTTTATCTCCCGTGTGTTGCCGCCTATCCTGGTTTTCCCACATTTCCCCTCGGACGGGATACGACCGCAGTGAAATATGTTCTGGACGTCTGGGTCGTTACACAGCAGCTATTATAACACACAGCGAGCAGAGAGTAAATAATAATAATAATAATATCGTTTATACCAATAACGAGCGGACTTGTATTTCGCCTCCAGACATAAACCGCGTGTGACTCCTGACCGATTTGATGAGTGGAAAAAGCGAAGTTACACCACAGTTTTGCACTTGGGCAGTATTAAACGTATAGCAGTGACAAAATAATATTATAACCTTTTGGACGTGGAAATCAATTGTGTTGATACCATAATAATCATACATTGAACCCGTGATGGCTCTGCACGATAAACAACGACGACAGACGTCGAAAATATAATTGAACCATAATAAATAACAGAATAATAATAATTGTTTATGGGGTGCAGGGGTTGGCCGGCTTTTGGATTTATTAAACTATTCTCTCTCTCTCTCTCTCTCTCTATACACTGTATAAATGGATATCGGAATCACGAAATGGGAATGTAATAAAATCGAGTCGCTTTTTATCAGATTATTATTTTGACCGTAACAATAATATAAAAAATAAAATACAATGCATTGTTAATAATAATAATAATAATAAAACGAAATTCACGAGCGGGTGGGTCGATCGATTTGAAAAAAAAAGTTTTCTTGAAAATTTATACACCGGACTTGTAATTGAATATATAATTTTCTATAAAAACCTAAAGCTGCTTCAAGTTGCTGAACGATTTTTCTCTACATTCTCTACTCCACACACACACACACCTATATGTCTGTATCTACTTCTACTCTAATCTTTCCTCTGAAATCATCTATTGTCTCTCTCGTTTTCTATTTTCTGCTATTGCCACACACAAATCTCTATCTACCACCTCGTCCACACAACGATAGTGGAGGAATGTGCGTGCAATTTGTACTGCACGGGAGACCGGAGAAAGACCACCAAAGGTCTACGGCCGTTGTGACAAGTGAAAGGCTCGGACGGAAAGCTAACAACGACGACGACAATAATAATAATAATAATAATAATAAAAAATACAACATCCACTGCTGCTGGTCGTTTAGGGGCGTCGTCGGATATCCGGGGCAGTGTAGAGAGTCGCAGAGCAAGAGCAGAGAAAAATATAAAATAAAATATGTAATAACGATCTGGGATTAATGTATAAATATATATATATATATATATATATACACATGAACGGGGCGGTCTGCAGACACGAGAGAGGAGAGGGCCAGCCAATATCTGGGATTCGCAATCTCTTTTTATGGCGCTCACCGTCGACCACGCGGGTTTTTCCAACGGGAACCTTCGTATACGCGCATTATGTTATTGGCGTTTTCACCCCCCCCCCCCATTTGCGGGGTAGTCTCTTATGTTCTCTAGCCGCACACTAGACGGGTCCCTCGGCCACCGACCAAGGGTAACGACGGACGGACGGACCCGCAGAGCACGGAAAAGGACGTTGTTTGAATAGGTTCCAAAAGCGAAAGCACACACACACACATGCATGATGTTTCTTTTTTTCTTTTTGGATCCAATCCAAACAAACTACTTTGTTTCAAAACTATCTCTTCCCTGGCGCATGACCGAACCCTGTCGTCGTCGCAGGGTAATTTCCAATTCGAGTAATGCCCAAGTCCGTTCGACGCTGTTGTATGCAAAAAGTTGGCGTTTCCCATGCAGCAGACCTGCCTGTCTGGCTTTGAATGAGGTCTTTTTTTCTTTTTGTTCGTTCGGACCGGCATTAATCCCGTTAAAAACGTCGGTTTCGATGAAACATCAAAAGAAAATTAATTAAATTGTCGTCGGCGGGTTAGGCCCCCTAAGCGCCGCTTTTGTGCGCGCACATATTGGGAAAACCGCAGCGCGGGAAAGCCCACAACGAGTCAGCAGCCCCACGAACGACGACGACGGGGCTCGTTCGTAATGTAATAATAGTCGGTGGTCGCGCGCGTTAAAGCCTTTTGTACCCTGCTCGACTCAGCAGTGTCGCCAGTACTTAATTATCAATTTTCCCTAAAGCCGTCTAGTGATGACAGCCATTTTGGTTTATTTGAGACCAAAAAGCTGAAACAAACCGGCGACTACATAAGATGGTCCGGTACATAAGATATCTTTTTTAGATAAAAAAAAAAACAAATTACTCTCTAATCCCCCTGAATTCCATATTTGCAATTTTCCAGCAAAATTCCACCGTGACCTGGGAATTCCACCGTGACCTGG